TATCCTACTCCTAAATCTAATTCTCTCTAAATTCGCCTATGTTACTATGTCCTCTAACTTTAACTTAATTAATAATAAAATAGATATTCACAACACTTCACCTATCCAAAATCACCATTTGCACAAATTAACCTTTTTATTTTCTTTTCAAATATCTCATTATTTTATCTTATTCTCTAATAAATATATGTTACATTCTGTTTCATATGTAATTTTATGTTAAGCATTTTATGTTAATACCTATATATTTGTAATGTTGTATATATTTCAATTGTTATTCATTATGTAAAATAATTGTATTTTTTGATTTCTTTTGGAAGAATCTGTGGGGCTATATATTTAAAAATAAGTAAATAATTAAATATGAATAAATTCATTACAAGAAGCCTAAATTAAAATATTTCGAATAATTAATTATCATACTTATTGTTCTTTTTCCAGATGATGACCGGCCTGGAGTGCGGCCACCGGTTCTGCACGCAATGCTGGGCCGAATACCTGACGACGAAGATATGGAGGAGGGGCTGGGCCAGACGATCGCCTGCGCCGCCCACGCCTGCGACATCCTGGTCGACGACGCCACTGTCATGCGCCTCGTGAGGGAGCCGAGGTCAAGCTGAAGTACCAGCACCTCATCACCAACAGCTTTGTAGAGGTATAGGAAATAGATAGGACGAATATAATGGTAATAAGCTAATATAATAATGGTTGTGTCTTTTTAGTGTAATCGTTTGTTGAGGTGGTGCCCTTCGCCTGATTGCAGCAACGCGATTAAAGTGCAGTACGTCGAAGCCAGGCCGGTTACCTGCAGGTGCAGGCACGTTTCTGTTTCGCATGCGCAGAAAATTGGCACGACCCCGTCAAGTGAGTTAATTGTAGATGCATCGACACATAATAATTAACAGAGAAGCTTAGGTTTTTTTTTTGCCTCATCTTCTTATATATAAAAATGAATCGCAAAATGTGTTGGCAAGCGCATAACTCAACAACGCCTGGACCAATTTGGCCAATTGTTTTTTTAAAATGTTCGTTCAAGTCCAAGAATGTTTCTTACGGCGAGAAAAAATCCAATAATTGCCGGGAAAACCCTAAAAACAGCCCTTTTTTTCACATACAAACGTTTTCTAACTAAAATGTAGAATCAATTTGAGCTTTATTGCTATTATATAAAGTTCATATTAAATTACAAGCACTCACTGTATACTCCTCCTAAACGATTATTCGGATTTTGATAAATCTTTCTGAAGTTTGTTAAGGAAATTTTCTAGTATGTATGTGATTAGAAAGTACTGGGATGTATGTGCAATGTTGTAGAAATAAATGGAAAAAAATGCAAAAAACGACGTGCCATTGTTTGCATTGAAAATAAATGAAAATTATCATCTGCCAAAAATTTCAATTTACTTATGAACCTAGACAATATTAGAATATGCATAATAAATTTATGATTATGAATAAGAAAAATGAAATGTCTACATTATTATTGCCGAAAAGCAGCTGAGATGTGCCAGAAATTACAATAATATAAAATACAGTATATGTATGGCAGATTGAATGATACACATATGAACAAATATGACAAATTAATTCACTTAAAATATGAAATTAAGTATTAATCAGGGCCGGTCCTACCTTTAATGCCTCGCATGCGAAAAATACGAGCGCACGTGATAGGGGCGCCAATACAAGATTCGGATATTAAATTTTCAATATAGTTTTTTTTCAATTATAATTTCTTTTGCATCTTTACTAATCTTTCCACAATATTTTTAAAATTCGTAAAATTTTCACTTTATAAACAACAAATGGGAAAGTAAAGATGAATACATACAATTCGGCCCTTACGATATCGATGAGAAGTTTAAGATGCAATTTTGGATATCTTAAATACAATAAAACTACAATAATTTTTTTATATAGAATTTTAGTTAATTTATCTAGTTTCTACTTATCTAATTCAAAAAGAGTTCTTGGGGAAAAAATTTGGAACAATTTAACAAAACGTAGAAAAGTGTCCTGACAGAATCCACATATGTTTAGTAAATTTGCAAAAATAATAGGTCATGTTCACACTAGTTTTGCTCAAGATTTTTATATAGGACTATTCTAAGCAATTGATACAAAATTGTTGTAATTTTTATCTAGTTTCTACTAAGATAAATATAAAATAGTGTTTTAGGGAAAATTTTCGAGTTTTTCAAGAAAATGTAGATAAATTTCCCGACAGAATCCATATGTATAGTAAATTTACAAAATATATTTCATTGAAATTTGGAATATGGCCTAAGCTCTTAGTACATACTTAGACTATCTCAGTTCATGTTCGTTTTTTATAATTTATTATATTTAAACTATTAAAAATAATATATAATATAATGCTTATATTATATATTATGGTATGCTTATAAAGCATCATTAAGTACTTTATGCCACTTACTTTATTATTTTATCCTTTCCCCAGGTGTCATCTATTAAGAAAGTGGATTAAAAAATGTGACGACGACTCGGAGACCTCGAATTGGATCGCAGCCAACACTAAAGAGTGCCCCCAGTGCAATGTCACAATTGAAAAGGACGGAGGATGTAATCACATGGTCTGCAAGAATCAATCATGTAAACACGATTTCTGTTGGGTGTGTCTGGGCTCATGGGAACCACACGGTAGCAGCTGGTACACCTGCAATAGGTAAATAATAATAATAATAATATATTTATTATAAAAGTTAATAGTTATGGAATATATTTATCTGTGTCTTTTACAGGTATAATGAAGAGGAGGCCCGAGCAGCCCGAGATGCCCAGGACAAGTCTAGATCATCGTTGCAACGATACTTACATTATTACAACCGTTACATGAATCACATGCAGTCTTTAAAGTTCGATCACAAACTCTATTCTTCTGTAAAAGCCAAGATGGAAGAGATGCAACATCACAACATGAGCTGGATCGAGGTAGAGGCATGTCCATTGAGGAAAAGTTTACTAACAATATTATAATATTAGATAAGAATTTATTGTGCATGTGCTTTGCTTTTTTTTTAATCTTAACTGCATGTTGAGTTTTATCACAATTATAATTAGTTAGTGCTATTTTACAATTAGATTTTACTTTAGTTGCTCGATTTAATGCAAATTTAAGACATCAGCAGGTATTACTTAAAAATGTAATTTTATAGTATTATGTATAAATAATTTTTTTTTAAATAGGTAAAACAATATAAAACTGGTTGAATGTAGCATTTTGCCTTTAAGCAAGTTGCATGAACTTTTGGATGTGTCGATATTCAAAGATTTATAAGATTTTGCTATATAATAACATTTTTAACTGTTTATTTCTTTAAATAATTTTGCTTTATTCTATACAAGTGTATAAAACTGTTTTTACTAGATTCCTTATTTGAAGAAAAATATAAAATATGCTACTAATATCCTCATTAACTTCCCGTAGGGTAAGTTATTGTAATGGGCCGAAAATCGGAATTGAAAATTTTTACATTTCTCGACGTTTTGAAGGTTTCTGAACATTTTGGCATACTTCAGAAAAAACGAATGTGTGTGTGTGTGTGTATGTGTGTCTGTGTGTATGTATGTATGGATACAAATTTTCGCCCACGTTTTCGGGCGTACGGATCAACCGATTTGAATAGTTTAAAAAACATTCGATTCCTATTAATAAGGAGAAGAGCTGATTAGTTTTTGGCAAAGACAGGTCCAGCAGTTACGGAGATAAGGAGCAAAGAGTGCAGAAAATAGAAATCGAGTTTTTGAGAGAACGGAGCATCCGATTTGAATGATCTAAAAAACATTCAATTAGTAATGATTGGGAGAAGGGTTGTTAGTTTTTCGCAAAGGCAGGCCCAGCCATTTCGGAGATACAGAGCTAAATGTACAAAAAATGGCAGTTTTTGAGAGAACTAAGCGTCCGATTCAATTGATTCAAAGAACTTTCTGCTTGTCTTAACAAAATAATTGATTTTGGAAAAAAAAATTGTACCATTTTTTTTTCTTTTCTTTTTTTTTTTCTTTTTAATTTTTTGTATATCGAAAATAATTCAGATTTTATTTTTAATTCTGACTATAGTTCTAATATACTTTAAACAAATAATTTCAACTCTGCAATTCAGTTTATATAATTCTTATAAATATTAGACAATGTTACAATATTTATAATAATCTATTTGAAAACATTCAATATTCCTCAAACATTTCGTTATGGTACGGGAAATTCCAGCAATTTGCCTTAAGGCACGATGCCACCCACCCCACTAGTTTCAACTATGAATTATTCAAAATTTTAATATCCGAGTGCGAATAACGATTTTTATGAGGTTTTAGTAAATTTTATCTAGTTTTTATTAATGTAAACAAATTATAATGTGCGAAATGAAAATTAAAAGTTATTTGAAGAAAAGTAAGAAAATTTCCCAAATTCATATAAAGCAACTTATCAAAATACTAAAGTCCGCATTTCAACTAGGATTTATTTAAAATTTTATTACTTAAGTGTGTATAATTGTTTTTACTGTATTTTAGTTCATTTTATCTAGTTTTCACTAATGTATACAAATTAAAACGTTCGGAATGAAAATTTTGAGTAGTTTGAAGAAATGTACGCTTCGCTTTTAGTGTGTTAAGTATTATATTTTAATTTGTAATTCTTATATTTCAGGTTCAATTTCTTCAAAAGGCAGTCGACATCCTCTGCCAGTGTCGTCAAACCCTAATGTGCACCTACGTCTTTGCATATTACTTGCGTAGAAATAACCAATCAGTCATCTTCGAGGCCAACCAGAGCGATCTGGAGAGCTCCACCGAGACTCTCTCAGAATATCTGGAACGGGACATCACATCAGAAAACTTGGCCGACATCAAACAAAAAGTTCAGGATAAATACAGGTAAGTTGATTTAGGATAGAATTTAATGTTGTATCAAAGTTACATGTTATCTGTTGTATCAGGTATTGCGATAGTCGTAGAAAAGTACTTCTAGAACATGTTCACGAAGGATATGATCAAGACTGGTGGGAGTACTCTGAATAATAGATTGAATTAAGTAAAAAAAAATGCTGTCGAGATATTTAATCCTTAACCTGTGGATACCAAGCAACAAGTCTCAGTTTAAAGCAAGATAAAGATCAAATCTTTATGACTCCATTGCCAACAGAAATATAAACCTAATTTTAATTAATTGTGTGACTATTAAAATTGTTGGACAATTTGGCACAAACGATGTGTATATCTCAAGTACGGTGTTTATTTGTCTGAATGAAAGACAAAACTTAATAGTTGATAAAGATTTAAGAATTATGAAGTGATTTAATAATTGAAAGCCTCCCCCGTTGGTGCTTTGTCAACATATAAATGTAATCTCTGACCTTTATGATGGATTGATAGATTGATTGATTGATTCTATTTATTAGGATGGACTTCGACTTCAACAATAGCTAGTGTAAAAAAATAAATTGAGATGATTTAGTTTTAACAGTCAAATTAATATCAAAATTGTTTCGCTTAATGAAATTTATCTGCATATATATGTATATATGTATGGATTTAATTCTTTTGAGAACATGACATTGGACATATTGTTTATATATGCGTAAAAGAACAAACAACTAAATATATATAAAATTATTTATCCAATGTCCGAACAATAAATATATATTATGTATGTATGAAAAGGACAGATTTATAAATATATAGCATATATTATATTAGATACTCTCGACATTGTATGTATTGAATGGTATAAACCCTTGTAAATAAATTAAATTAGTGATATTTAAAATAAAATAAAAACAGGAAAACTATAATGTGTGTGTTATGTATCGAATGAAACATTTCATATGGGAATGGATATATGATATTTTGAGTATTATACCTTATATAATATTGTCAGATTAATAAGTCGTTGGCAAATCATTACGAAATACTATTTAGAATAGAAAATTTGTTTAATTAAATTTTAAAATTAACGTAAACTTTAATTGCCATTACGACAAACTGTCAAGAAAGATGGCCGCCATCGTGAAGAGCGCGGAATTTAAACCGAAAATCTGAAAACATGATAAAAATTAAAAACATTTGTCGATATTTATTAAAATTACACAGACTTTTTAAAATATTTAAATATGTGTTAAACTTATTGTAAATAATTGTGTAATAACTATTTAAAATTTTTATAAACATTATTTTCTAAGATTTCTCCCCCTGCTACATGTATCACGTAAAGTTAGTCATTTAGACAAACGTCAATGACAGTTCTTGTCTAATTTGTTATAATGTATTTTAAGTTTTGCACCCTAAAATTAATAGGGTAAATTAAATAATTAGTGCAAAATACCAAGCATTTATTAAGTGAAATGGATATAGTGTTATATTTGACAAACATTCAGTTAATTACTAAAAAAATTGGAGCAAATGCTAATGGCGGTTACAGAATGGGAAATTCCGGCTGTGATTTGAAGGTAAGAATTTATTTGATTTAAGATACAGAAAAAATGTACAATTACTCTTGAATATATAATCATGATATTTTAGAATAAAGGATTCCAAATTAATTCTGCATGTCACAGTGATAAAAGTCATAATAAATCCTTAAAGCCTTTTACATAACCCCTTTGTGCACCATCTTTATTTACTTTTGTCAAAAAGGTTTATTACGTAGATATTTAACTATTATGCTATTGTTATATTATTTTAAAGTGTTAAGATATGATAAATAATTCTAAGGTGAACCTTATTAGTCCTTCCTATTGGAGGCTTATTAATCTTCTTGTTAGATTCCTATTTGAATTCATTATTAAGGTTTTTATATATATTTTTCATGATAACGATCTAACAAAAATGACCTTCGTCTTCATTTATATAAAGTTGTTTCAATAGATTTTTGGAACAAAGTAAACATTAAAAATCAAGGTAAATATTCCACCTTCCACCATATCCATTTCAACTCAGTTTACAAGAACAAAAAACTATATATTGTTACTTTATCTTTATTAATTTGATGATATTTACTGCTTTTTGTTCAAACTGTTTATCTGTTTATGGTACGATCAATCTCAAGTAATAAATTATAAAAGGAATCATATTACCGATGCCCCAAAGGCTGAAATTAAAACATCTATGAAAAAATTAAGTTCCATGAAATATATTGAAATAATCAAAAGGCACTAATCCATAATATAATCATGGATGTAAATGTTTTATTTGGTTATAAACTTTCCAAAGAAGTAAATGTTTTTGCTAGATTCCGAATTTGTTTTGTTTTTTGGGCGTTCAAGTTGTTCTGAATCGTTTGACAACAAAATTGGTAAAAGTTTGTGTGAGCTAAAAAAAAATTCAATAGTAAACGCGGAAGAATGATAGAGTTTAATTATTAACAATGAATTAATAAAGTTTAATTATTAACAATTTTTTTTTCATTATTCACTTCGTCAGAAAATCTAATTTGCATTTTGAATCGAATGGGACCAAATTTTAAAAAGTAAGTGTGTGTGTGTATGCATAAGTGCCTATTGTCGACCTTTTTTATAGAGGCCTAAAATATTAGAGTCCTGCGAAATAGGTTTAATTATAAAAAATCATGAAAGTTTGAAAATTTATCAAAATTTTAATCTTCAATAAACTGAGTTATCGTTTTTGGCACTTTTGTCCCGTATCTCCGAAACATCTGGACCTGCCTTTGCCAAAAACTAATCAGCACATCTCCCTATCAATAGAAATCGAATGTTTTTTAAACCATTCAAATCGGTTGATCCGTGCGCCTGAAATCGTCGACGAAAATTTGTATCCGCACACACACAAACATCAATTTTTTCTAAGATAAGCCAAAATGTTCAGAAATCCCCGAAACGTAAAGATATTTGAAAATTTTCATTTTCGATTTTTTTGGTATTACTATAACTTGCCCTACGGGAAGTTAAAAAATGTCCAATAATTTTACTAAAAATACCCTTAGTATGTGGGTGATGGGGGGGTAATTTTACGTATCACCAAGGGATTTAAAAATCCTTAAAAATCGATGACGTGATTAATGGACATTCTTTAAGGGTTAAACGTACAATAATTATAATAATAAGTAGTATAAGTATAATCTTGACAAGAGCCTAAAATAATACCTATTATTATTGATTACGGCTTGCTTATGAATAAATAAATGAATAAATAAAATATAGTCTGCCCGGAGACAGGTCCATGGTATGAGAGCACCTCAAAATCAATGATTTTTGTCCCCTCCCTTGTTTATTATTCCCATTGTCGTTTTATTACTATATTCGTTTTCATGAATTTTCCTTTCCAAACTTTTGCTTTCATGCTTCCTGGTCCTTTGCATCAATCATCTGCGTTCTTCTTCTTCCCAATGCTTTTTTTTATTCCTTTTATTTTGCCTTCGACGACGTCGTGTAGGAGGCATTGTCCTTGCAGAATGGTTCTGATCCAGTTTCCTTTTCTTTTCAGGATCGACCTCAGTAGAATCCTTTTTTTGCCCACTCTTCTCAGGACTTCTTCATTTTTTACTTTTTCGATCCACTTTATTTTCTTCATTCGCCTCCAGTATAGTTTCACAACTCTCCAAAGAGTTCTTGTCGGCCTTTCTTAGGGTATATGTCTCTTTAAAATTTATAATCAATTTTGCAGATATTTTGACCCTGTGTCTTTTACAATCCGGTCCTGTCCGAGACCCCTATATCCCCCTGTCAACTTTCGAATATTACGAAAAGTCAATTGGCAAGTTCGCACTTTGGCATCGACAATCGCCAATCGGCATACAGCATACTGTCATTAAATAGCCACAAAATCATCGTCACGAATCGAATTTCCATCTCGAAATCGAGACCATGACGCGCGTCACGTCCCCGGGGTCACTTTGCCATCAATCAAAATCGAAAAAATCGCCGAGATTTGGAAAAAATCGCCCGTTTATCCGACATGTGCGCCACGGGAAAGGGATAAGTGTTAGTGGCCCCATTGGGAGAGAGGGACTTTGCTGGCGGAGCCTTCGTTTGCATCGTTTTTTTGGTGTTGGTGAGCGCGAGCAAAGTGCGTCTGCGACTCTGAACAGGTTTTTCGCAATTGTGCGTATTACAGGTAGTTTTGTTAGACGGGGGGCGCGGCGGGGGGCGAAAGGAGAAAGAAGATTGTGCACTTGACATCTCTTATATGTATATGAGGATTATTGGTACCAAAACCTAACTAACTCTGGATTGTTAATTATTATTTTTACCATTCACTTAAAATGAAAATAGGTACTATGATTAGTTTAGGTGGCATCCATTAATCACGCGAGGAAGAGGGATGACAAAAAGTCACAAAATATCATGAAGCGAAGGGAAGGGTCTTGTAAGTAAAAATTCCGAAATTTAAAAAGAATTTTCAAAAATTTGCTATTATTCCTAGGTACTAAAAATACACATGATGTGTGGGGGAGAGGGATGAATCAAATATCACTCTGTATCACCAAGGGTGAGGGGGGGGGTACAAAAATCCTTAAAAATCACTTAAAATCCGGATCATTTTTGATATTAATGTACTAATATATAGCTGAATTAACTATGTACAGTTTGCAATGAAAATTAAACAAAAAAAATTGACATTAAAAAAAATGGAAACTATTTTTTTTAACTTCCCATAGGGTAAGTTATTGTAATCATCCAAAAATCAAAAGTGAAAATTTTTACATTTCTCGACGTTTTGAAGGTTTCTGAACATTTTGGCATACCTCAGAAAAAATGGATGTGCAGGTGTGTGTATGTATGTATGGATACCATTTTTCGGTCACGTTTTCGGGCACACGGATTAATCGATTTGAATGGTTCAAAAAACATCAGGTTCCTATTGATAGGGAGATGTGCTGATTAGTTTTTGGCAAAGGCAGGTCCAGCCGTTACGGAGATACAGAGCTAAATGTGCAAAGAACTTTATTCTTGTTTTAACAAAATAATTGTTTTTGAAAAAAAAAATTGTATATTGAAAATAATTCAGATTTTAATTCTAATTTTGACTAAAGTTCTAATATACTTTAAATAAATAATTTTAAT